TTTGTTTAGTATATCCTCATCAGTGGTGTGACCCTTTGATCTTTTACTTATAAATTCTGTGTCTGATACTACCTCTCTCACTAACACCTGAACAAGGAGTAAGATTCTGAAAGTTGGGTTTTCAAATAAACCTGTTGGACTATAACCTGGTGTCATGTGATTTCTGACCTTATCCATCCCAGTCCGACACTGGAACCTCCACATCTTCGAATTTATAGGTGCACAGAATTAGTGGATGCTTCATCACCACCAGAATTACAGAATTATTACAGTGCAGATAGAGGTCCTTCGGCCCACCTTGTCTGCACCAGTTGTACTATCTCATGCTAGTCTCTTGCCTTTTCCCCATATCCCTGCACCGTTACTATCTAAACAAAAAATCCAATGTCCCCTTGAATGCCTCAATAGAATCTGTTCCACCACATTTCCAGGCAGTACATTCCATACTCCAACAACTTGCTATGTGAGAAAGGTTTTTTCTCACATTACCCTTGTTTCATGTCTACATTGCTCTAAATCTATGCATTTGCAGGTCTCCTCATTCCCATTACCTCTGTAACTGCATTAGAACCTGCAACCAGCAAAGGGATTTTGGGGCCTATTAACTTCAGCCTGATTTCAATATTAAAGGCACCAATCACTTGAATCAGACAGGGTTTGTTGTGGGTGACTCCTTTCTAGCTACGGCACCACTGTTCGCGAGTCCGTACTGTGACCAATCCCAGTAATGCCAGAGAAAGGCAACAAAAGTTGCCGTCACCATTTTGGTACTCTGAGATAATAATAGCAAATCTCAGTGCATATGGCAAGTAAACCAATATCTGAAATATAAAAGATGAGTTATTTCTTGTTTAGAAGAACTTCATTAAAAGGATTTCTACCCAAGATCAAAGATGTCTTTTCTCTCACCAAGGAGCAGTTAAGGCAACCTCATATTTTTTTGCCTTAATTTGCATAGAGTTAAGAGAGTAAAATAAAGTTAAGGGGGTAATGCTGAACCTTTATAAGTAGTTATAACTGGAGGTTATTGTGATCCGTTCTGGTCACTGAAGATGCGAAAGGATGGCAAGGGCTTTAGAGAGGGTGTGAAAATGTTTACTGGAATGGTTCCAGTGCTGACAGATTTCTATTATACCAGCATACAGGCCACTCAGCTATCCAAAAGCCAGAAGCATCGTCATCGATGTGGCCCCTCTGTGAGGGACAAGGTGCCTGATTCCCCCCCTCAACAAAAGCGTGTCCACAAGCCACCAAGACCTGCCTAGCAGCTTATACATGTGATGTTCCCCTGCAAGGCCCATTCTCCCCGCCCTAACTGGCCGAACACCAGCAGTGGTGAGGTGATGGGATTGGCCATTAAATGCCCCAATTGGCCTCACGTGAGAGGGCTGGCCTTGACCTTCCGACCCCTGACTTTTATCGGTAGGGAGAGTCGAGAAAGGTGATAGAACGCTTCACCTCGCAACTTCCTGGCCAATGAAACACCCCTGCCTCTACCTTGAAAACCAGCTCGTGGAGCTGTGGGCTGGAGAGGGGTGAGGGGGGTGGGGGGCTTACGTTCCACCCAAAGCATGTGCCAATCTTGTCCCTTTCAATTTCCAAGCATATCACCACAGCATGATTCCATCACACTTAAAGAAAATGGTTATTATTCAGATAATAATGGATTCACCACTACTGGGATATTGTGTGTGTGTGTGCTCCCTTTATTACTGTACTTTATCACTATTAAGATGAGATCAAGAATTTAAAAAGCTTTCTATCGTGTTAATGAACTGGTTAGCTTTTATCATGCATTCTACTTGGTAGATGAAGTTATTCAGCAACAGTACCCAGCTCGAAAACTACTTTGCTGCACCTATGAAAGAATGGATATAAAGCAAACCTCTTTAATGCTACCTTCTGATGAGACCTTCTGTTCTCTGATGCTGAACAACCTGTACTCAGCAAAGGTCTCAGTTTTATTCCTTTGTGTCCCCACCTTAATGAATTTCAGGCATGACAAGAAGTCAAACTCTTCTTCCTCTGACTCCGCCTCTGTGCCCATTTCTTTGCACAAGAGTCCTGTCCCCATCCCACAGACCCCTTCACCCAGCTCCAACACTCTCTTTCCACCTGGAACCCCCTCCCACCCACCCTGGCCTTTTACCTGCACTCGATCTGTTCATTGAGAACTGCTGATGTGACATTGGTCGCCTCAATTTCTCTGCCTCCCCTCACCCAATCCAAACTATCTTCCTCCAAATTGACTGCACTCCGTGCGCTCAGATCTAACCCTGACTTTGTTCTAACCCTGCCGATAAGGGTGGTGCTGTTGTAGTCTGGCGTACTGACCTCTACATTGCAGAGGCTGAGTGTCAGTTCTCAGATACCTCCTCCTATCTCCCCCTGGACCATGACCCCACCATGGCACATCAGGCCATTGTAACTAGTACGGTCACTGACTTCATCTGGTTATCTCCCCCTCACTGCCCCCAAGCCCCACACAGCTCACTTCTACCTCCTTCCAAAAATCCACAAACAGGACTGCCCAGGTAGACCCATTGTTTCAGCCTGCTCCTGCCCCACAGAACTCATTTCTTCCTACCTTGACTCAGTCTTTTCTCCCCTGGTCCAGTCCCTGCTATTGCACATTCGCAATTCCTCTGACGCTTTACACCAGTTTCGGAATTTCCAGTTTGCAGGCTCCAGCCGCTTTTTCTTTACCATGGACCTGCAATCCCTTTACACATCCATCCCCCACCAGGATGGTCTCAGGGCTCTCCACTTCTTCCTGGAGCAAAGACCTGAACCGTTCCCACCCACCACTACCCTCCTCCGCTTGGCCAAGCTCGCCCTCACCCTCAACAACTTCTCTTTTAACTCCGCTCATTTTCTTCAGGTCAGAAGGGGTGGCCATGGGTACCCGCATGGGCCCCAGTTATGTCTGTCACTTTGTGGGGTACGTGGAACATTCCTTATTTCAGTCCTATTCTGGCCTCCACCCACAACTCTTTCTCCGATATATCGATGATAACCATGGTGCTGCTTCCCAATCTGGTCCAGAATTGGAAAAGTTCATCGATTTCGCTTCCAATTTCAGCCCCATCCTCACTTTCACCTCATCCATCTCTGACTCCTCCCTTCCCTTCCTCATCATCTCTGTTTCCCTTTCTGGGCATAGACTGGCCACCAATATCCATTACAAATCCACTGACTCCCACAGCTACCTGGACTATACACCCTCACACCTGCTTCCCGTAAAGACTCCATTGCACTCTCCCAGTTCCTCCAACCCCGTCACATATGTTCCAATGAGGCCAACTTTGACAAGAGAGCCTCTGAACTGTCCACATTCTTAACTGAGGATTCCCCAGCACTGTTGTTGACACAGCCCTCAAATGGATCCAACCCATCTCCCGCACTTCTGCCCTCATCCCTTCTCTTCCCTCCTGCAACAGCGATGGGGTTCCCCTTATCCTTACCTACCATCCCAGCAGCAGCATCCACATCCAGAAGATCATCAGACGCCATTTCTGCCACCTCCAGACACATATTCCCATCCCCTCCTTTGTCCATCTTTTGCAGGGATTGTTCCCTCCAGGACACTCTGGTCCACACTTCCTTCACCCCGAACAACCCCCCACACCCACATGCCACCTTCCCCACTGAAGCTGTAACACCTGCCCATTTACCTCCTCCCTCCCCACTATCCAAGGACCCAAACATACCTTCCAGGTGATGCAACACTTCACCTGCACTTCCCACAATCTAGTCTACTGCATGCCTGCTCACAATTTGGTATCCTCTACATTGGGGAAACGAAGCATAGACTGGGTGACTAGTTCGCAGAACACCTATGTCCTGCCCGCGAAAAAGACCCTGAGCTTCCAGTTGCCTGCCACTTCAATGCACCACCCTGTTCCCTGGCCAAGGTCTCTGTCTCAGGCTTGCTGCGGTGTTCCAGCGAAGCTCAGCACAAACTGGAAGAACAGCACCTCATTTTCCGCTTGGAGACCCTGCAGCTTTCTGGACTCAATATCGAATTCAGTAACTTTAGGGCCTAAATTCTCTAATGTCCTAGCCCCCACCCACTGCACACACCAGACATTGTTATCACATAGTGTGCCATTACACACTACCTATTGTTAGGCACTACCAGACTCCATTAATAGATATTCACCCTCCTGGCCAGATCATTATCTACTCCTTTGTCTGTCCAACTGTTTTTCGCTCTCTTTGGGGTCTATCCCCACCCATCGTTTACTCCTTACCCCTTACCTCCACCCTATCTTCTAAATACAAACCGACATTTTCCTAGCTACCATCAGTTCTGAGGAAGAGTGACTAGACCTGAAATGTTAACTCTGATTTCTCTTCACTCATGCTACCTGACCTGCTGAGCCTTTCCAGCAACTTCTGTTTTTGTCTCTTTAACATTACACTACTCTCTGACCTCCTCTCAGTTGATAATGAATAGGTGGTTAGAGTTGAATGTTTGCAGCGAGTGATAACATCGAGGATGTTTGACTTCTGGTGTAGTCAAGTGGGATTTTAAGCGAACAGAATGTCCATTAAATTGAATGAAGGTGGACAACGGAATTCAAAATTCTGTGTTGACTTGTATTAATCAATATTTGTCACAGAGTCAGACTTTCAAAACAGCGGCTGAGGGCGATGAAGTGAAGAAAAGCCTTACTGACATTCTGGACGTTGACTCCTTGTACACGAGACCTCTCAAAAATCGAGTCAAAATGTTTGGTTCCTCAAGTAAAGAAAATGTTGGGATAGAAAATGTGAAAAGCAATACTATCACCAGAGAAGTGACCAACACCATGAAGTCAGAAGATGGCATCTTTGGCTCTGTAGAAGAGCCAAATCAAAGGGTCGCTGGAAGTCTGATGTACAAGGAACCACAGAAGAAGAACTCTCAGTTGGGAGATCAGCGCCTGGATGTATCATCATCTGAAACGAACATGTATGGCTACATTATGACCCAGCAAAAGTAAGTATTGAGAATATCATCTGCTTAACAAAAATGCAAATGATGATCAGTGGATTGTGATAGCCACATCATCTGGCACATACGTGTTATTTTGTTCCCCTAGATTTGCCTCAGATTCTCTTGGCTTGTACTTTCTGTCATGATAAAGGTAAGTTGTACAGGGATATAGTTCCATGGTGACCACAAATGGGGAATAGCTTTGGCTATACATGGGTGGAGGCTGGTACAATTACAACATTTAAAAGGCATCTGGATAGGTATCTGAATAGGAAGGATTTAGAGGGATCCATGTTGTACATCTCTATGACTCCTGAGGCCACTTTTGGAACACTGCATTCAATTCTGGTCTCTCTGCTATAGGAAGGATGTTGTGAAATTTGAAAGGGTTCAGAAAAGATTGACAAGGATGTTGCCAGGGTTTGAGCTATAGGGAGAGGTTAAATAGACTAGGGCTATTTTCCCTGGAGCATTGGAGGCTGAGGAGTGTCCTTATAGAAGTTTATAAAATCATGAGGGGCATGGATAGGGTGAATATTCAAGGTGTTTTCCCCAGGATAGGGAAGTCCAAAACTACAGGGCATAGGTTTAAGGTGAGAGGTGAAAGATTTAAAAGGGACCTGAGGGGCAACTTTTTCACGTAGAGGGTGGTGCATGTACGGAATGAGCTGCCAGAGGAAATGGGTGGAGGCTGGTACAATTACAACATTTAAAACGCATCTGGATAGGTATCTGAATAGGAAGGGTTTAGAGCGATCTGTGCCAAATGCTGGCAAATGGGACTAGATTAATTTAGGATATCTGGTGGACATGGACGAGGTGGACTGAAGGGTCTGTTTCCATGTTGTACATCTCTATGACTCCATGACTGTAAGAAATATTCTGTATATTGTTAACACCTTACCTGTGCATAGTTGTCAGTTAGTTCTGCCATTTTCGTTCCTCAAGAATGAGACAAAAGCAGAAAATGAGACATGAATGACATCACTTGGTTTCTCTTGTTGTGAATGCCAGACAGAAGCACTGCACAACTATTTCTTTAAAAAGATGAAAATATAAAGGGTCAAGAACCCAGTCTATGTGATACATGTTTCACGAGCAAGCATACAGGGAACCACTCAGACCATATCATACTGACTGTGATATTTGACCCAAGAAATCACATCGTCATCTGATTTATAAATGACAGAAATTACTTGAAGTATTTTAACTTTGTGCGAGTTTAGAATTTGTTCATGATCTACATCAAGCTTCTGCAATATCTTATAATTTCATCAACATTCACACTTTGTAGACTGTGGCTTGTTTTTAACTGACCATTTCTTGTTCATGCTGAGGCTTGTAGTGTATTGTATTCAAAAGGTTGAAGAGAAACTCAGGAAAGTCAAGAAGATGTACAGCACAGAAACAGACCCAATCTGGGCCTACTGCAACCAGGGAGTCCCTGGCTCCACTGCCAGACCAGGCCGCCACTGCCATCTTGCCGAGAGTCCCGCTCCGGCTGCTCTCTTGCTTTGCCGGCACCACCTTGAAAAGTCCTCTGCCTCCAATGGCTGAAGGAGCTTTGCTGCCGCCATTCCCGAACGCCGGGGGGATGCCCCTGCTGTTGCTGTCTCTGTCGCCATGAGGAGCCATGTCTGCCGCTGCTGACTTCCGGAAGGAGCCACCATTCCGTGCACAGCTGATCTAGCTCCTATGCCGATTTCCTCGACTAACCCACCGCAAAAGGCACCAAAGAAAAGAAAAAACAAAAGAAAAAAAATGCAAGAAAAGGAGCTTCCTTTACATTCCTCAAGGACATTGATTACAAATCCTCCTTTGTCTTTTCTTTGTTTTGGGCCCACCTAATGGTTAGCACGAAGAACAAAGAAAATTACAGCACAAGACCAGGCCCTTCGGCCCTCCATCCCTGTACCGACATGCTGGCTATCACAACTAAAGCCGCCTACCCTTCTGGGGACCATATCCCTCTATTCCCATCCTATTCATATATTTGTCAAGACGCCCTTTAAAAGTCACTATAATATATGCTTCCACTACCTCCCCCGGCAGGGAGTTCCAGGCACCCACCACCCTCTGTGTAAAAAACTCGCCTCGTACATCACCGTTAAACCTTCCCCCTCGCACCTTAAACCTATGGCCCCTAGTAACTGACTCTTCCACCCTAGGAAAAAGCTTCTGGCTATCCAGTCTGTCCATGCCCTTCATAATCTTGTAGACCTCTATCAGGTCGCCCAACCTCTATCGTTCCAGTGAGAACAACCCAAGTCTCTCCAAGCTCTCCTCATAGCCTCCTGATTTCAGTTTCCTAAACCTTACATATGCTTGTTTTTTTCTTTTTGACTAAACTTTCAACATTTCTTGTCATCCAAGTTTCCCGAATCTCTCTACCCTTATATTTCATCCTCACAGGAACACACTGATCCTGAACTCTGATCAAGTGGCCTTTAAATGACTTCCACATGTCAGATGTAGATTTACCTTCAAGCAGCCATTTCTAATCTAATTTTTCCAGTTCCTGCCTAATACTGTTGTAATTAGCCTTCCCCCAATTTGACACGTGCACCTGAGGATCAGTCTTATCCTTATCTATAGCTATCTTAAAACATATGGAATTATGATCACTGTTCCCAAAATGCTTCCCCACTGGCCTGGCTGGGCTCATTCCCCAATACAAGACCTATATGGCCCCATTCCTAGTTAGCTATCTTCATATTGTTTCAAGAAACCATCCTGGATGCACCCAACAAATTCCGTCCCATATAAGCCCTGGCACTAAGGGAGTTCCAGTCAATATTGTTGAAGTTAAAATCACCTGTTATTTTTCCATCTTTCCATGATCCGCCTACATATCTGTTCCTCTGTCTCCCACCAGCTACTGGGAAGCCTACAGTATAACCCCATCACAGTGACTGCACCTTTCTTATTCCTGAGTTCTACCCATTTGGCCTTGCTGGATGACCCCTCCGAGATGTCCTGTCTTAGTACAGCTATGACATCCTCCTTAACCAGTAATACAACTCCCTCATCCCTTTTCCATCCCTCTCTATCTGTCCTCAAACATCTAAACCCCGTAATGTTGGGCAGCCAGTCCTGTCCTTCTCTTAATCACGTTTCTGTAATGGCTACCACATCGTAATTCAATGTCCTAATCCAGGTTCTAAGCTCAAAAACAGAAGTTGCTGGAAAAGCTCAGCAGGTCTGGCAGCATCTGTGAAGGGAAAAACAGAGTTAACGTTTCAGGTCCAATGACCCTCAGAACTGACGATCTGTTCTGAGGAAGTGTCACCGGACCCGAGGCGTTAACTCTGTTCCTTCCTTCACAGATGCTGCCAGACCTGCTGAGCTTTTCCAGCAACTTTGTTTTTGTTCCTGATTTACAGCATTTGCAGTTCTTTCGGTTTTTATTCAGGTTCTAAGCTCATCTGCCTTACCTCTTATACTCATCGGATTAAAATAAATACACTTCAGACCTCCAGTCCTGCCATGTTCATCAACCTGGCCCTGCCTGTTCTTCCTAGTAGACTTAATTGACTTAACCTCTCTCTTCTCCTCAATCAGTCCACATGCTGACCTACTGCTCTGGTTCCCACCCCCTGCCTAGTTTAAACCCCTCTGGTGGTACTAGCAAACCTCCCTATTGGTGCTGCTCCAGTTTTGGTGCAAACCATCCTCCTTGTACAGGTCCCACCTGCCCTGGAGGAGCATCTGACAGCTCTACCTGAAACCTTTTGTGGATCAAATTGGATTTTAAAAAAGGAGGAATCTTGGACCTAAATTGGCTGCAATTGTCACCCAGTCACAGATTGTGACAGGCTTTATGAGACCCCCATGTGGAATAGATGAAACAGTCTGCATTAGAATCAGCATTATTATCAAAAGACATTGAAACCAAGTGACTGAGTCAGTGTCAAGAACTTTACATCTCATGTTTAATTGACATGTATTTAATAGGTTCATGTTATTGAGACATAAAATGCTCTCTTGCCGGCAACCAACTTGAAAAGACAACGGAATACGCTCTGAATTATATTCCAACAACTGCTTTTGATCACCAGCCCAGAGCAGAGAGAAGAACATGGAGCAATATCACCAGAACTTGGAAGCCTTGCTCTACCTTTCCCTCCCCTGCCTGTTTCTCTCACCATCCCGAAAAAAATGTCCAGTGAAAACGCAGCTTAGGGAGGGAACCAGTCACTGTGAACTCCAGATATCTAGAGATTCTGCTGCTGCTGCGAATATGGGTCAACAATTAATCAGCTCTGGCCTCAGGTTCAAAATCTAACACCTCAGAGACTCTAGGGACTTCAAAACTCCATAACCCTATTTCTTCCTGTCTGTACCAGGCACAATCCATTTTAAACTTATTACCTATGTTTATGCGTCTGTTTGATGTCATGTTTTAAGTATTAGTGGATTAGTAGGAAACATGTATGTTTCATTAATTTAAGAAAATGTTGTTAATTGGCTCCTTCATTTTCTAGCAAACTGTTTTAATTGAATTGTGATAGCCGAGAGGTAAAAATAAATTAATAAAATATATTGTGACCGACTGAGAGGGGTTTAAAAAGAGAGGAGCTGATTACCTCCTCCCCTCCAGCTTGTAACAGCCAGTTTATAAATGAAAATATATTTTTTGCAGATTGCCAACAAAATAATTGCAATTAGTCAATAATGTTTACCCTGGGAATGTTCACAGTTGGATTCTTCAGATATTTAGTGGTTCTAAGATGGATACTTTACGATCTAACTAACTGCATTAATACAGCATTTTAAACCACATGTAGTGTTCAAATCAGAGATAGTAGGAACTGCAGATGCTGGAGAATCCGAGACAACAAGTTGCAGGGCTGGATGAACACAGCAGGTCAAGCAGCATCATAGGAGCAGTTGTGTCTTGCAGATATCTTAATGTTTTTTAGCCACATTGACACTTTTGAAAATCTAAGTTTGAGGTGTGTTTTGTAAGATTGCTTTGTTCTAGTCAGCAACGGGCTTTTGTATCACTGTTCCTTCTCAATTTTCCTATCAGCATTGTAACCATAAAGTGATAATGGTACTATTAACCTGTGAAAACTTGAAAATCTCGAAGCCTACTTCCCCTGCTGGAGTCTTTTAACATTATAACAAAACACCACGTTATTATAAACTATCTGATACAGACCGTGAGCATCATCTCAGATTGAGGCAAGGTATTGTGACAGGGGATAGTTTTAAAATAATGAAATGCAACAGAATAAATCACAGCACTAACCTTTAGCAAAATCCTTATTTATAGAAATAACATTTCAAATGGGGATGTCCTACAAATCATGGTAAAACTCAGCAATTAGTAAGCCGAACTGGAAATATTTTCAGTTTTTGACAATAAACAGAGAATGACTGTTGATATATTGTATCTCTTATAATGATTCCACTTCAATCTAATTGTTTGATTGATGAAGAATTTGGGTTATTCATCGTACCTTAAGTGCTGCCTGATCCCAATTCCCTTGCCATTATCCTTGCAGTGTGATAGGAATATAATGTGTTGCTGTTTGCAGTCTCTTCTGGTCAAAGGTGACAACCCAGTTGGGAACTTTAACTCAGCCGCTATTAATGAACTCTATTACTGATGCTGCGTTTTTCCATCTCAACAGCCCCCTGAGTTCTGAGAAAGGCTTGGAATTAATGGAATATTTGGCACATCTTCTGAAGCTGCAAATGAGTGTCTTTGAAGATATCAGGTAAGTATTCCATCTCTTACACCATTCAGTGGGGGGAAGGCTGTCTGTACTATTATTGTATTTGCTCAGAATGATCAGAATGTGGAGGTTATATAAAGAAGGCTTAACCTCATAACAAGCTGAAATCAATCGGACAAAATGCATGTTTGGCTGTTGAAGACTATTTTGTTTCATGGGTTTCCACTGGCATATTTTCCCTTCCTCAATATAACTTCATCATTCTGACCCACCGTCAAACTCAATCTGTTTAACTCAGTTTGAAAGAATTTACAGAAACCACAATATCGAACGACAACTTGGCCAATAATCCCTCAACAGCAAAAGCAAGTCCTTCCAGAACTTATGCATGGCCTCCAATTCTTTTGGTTTTGAAATATGTTCTTTAATCTGGTTTGCGTCTTCTACCAAAACCTGGAGTCATAATCATTTATCTTGCAGTTATTTTACTGTGGTTTGTGCTAACATTTGTTATTTTGTTACAGAGATAGTAGGAACTGCCGATGCTGGAGAATCTGAGATAACAAGGTGTAGAGCTGGATGAACACAGC